GGCTGGAGTGCTGTGGGGATCGAACTACAGCAACCTGAGGCTGACAGCTTTGTGGAAGCAGCCACTTAAAGAACTGAGCTAGGGCCAGGCCCCCTCATGTTGTTCTTTAGTTATGCTTTCTCTTTTTAAATTTTAGTAAGGGTCTACAATAAATAATTAAATAAATAAATGATACTGAAATGTTTTTCATTTTTTTATTTTAGTGAGGGTCTACAGGGTCTGTAGGGTGTCACTACATAGATCAGACTCGTAGTGATCCGCCTGTGTTCAGTCTCCCAAGAGCTGGGATTACAAGCATGCCCCACCACGCCCAGTCTCAATTGGTGTCTCAGCATGCCCTAGGGGCGGGGTTGGCAGGGCATGCTGGGGATTGAACCCTGGCCACTGCGTTTGCATAAGCAGGCTCTTTAGTCCACTGAGCTATTTGGCCAGCCCTTAGTTATGCTAACTTTTTATTCTTATATTTTTGGTGGCACTTGGGATTGAACCCTTAGTATTCACACTGAGTTATCTCTTAGACCCTGCTTTTATTTTTAAATTTTGAGACAGGCTTTCATTAAGCTCCTCTGCCCCTCTGTTGAGTTTGTAGTCCTTCTGCCTCAGTCTCCCAGAGTGCTTGAATTACAGGTGCATGCCACCATGCCTAACTGCCTGCCTGTTGTCTCTGTCCATCCATCCATGTCTGTGTCTGACTGTCTCTTTCAGTATTGGGGGTTGAATCTGAATTCAGGGCCTGTTGCATGCTAGGAAATGCTGTGTCACTGAACTATATCCCCAATCTTTTTTTTTTGGCAGAGCCAGGGATTGAACTCAGGCCCTGTGCTTGCCAGGCAAGCACTTATTCTACTGAGACATCTCCCTGGCCCCTTGTGTCCCCAGTCTTGAAAATACAATTTTGAGGGAGTCTCACTGTTTGCCCGGGCAGAGTTTGAATTTGTGATCTTTCTGCTTCAGCCTCCCAAACTGCTGGGGTGACAGGAGTACGCCACTATGCCTGCTTGTACTAAGTTGGAAAATCGAATATTTAAGATAGGTGATGATTATGTATGAAAGCAATACTGTATCTTCTCAAACATACTTTTAAAAAAACAATATAAGGTAGATACTAAGTGGGAGATATGTATCATTGTTTAAAGTTCTCATAAAAATATTTTTTCTTTTTTTGACAGTTCTGTTGAGTTGGAAGAATTGAATCTGGACCATTAAGAAAATGGATTTTGTAATTAGCTTTAAAATTAGGCCGAGCAATTAGTTTTCCTGCAAGTCAGATTTTTAAAATGACGTACATCCCACAAATTAGTTTTTGGTTTTTGATCTAACATCCCTTCCTCAAATGCCTTCTGTAGTTTCAGATTAGTAGGAAAACCATACAATAATTGTATGATATCTGTTTCAGTACTTCTTTTTTCATTTTTGTAAGTTGATATTAATCTTTTTATCAATTAAACTTTTGACAATTTATTTTTATTTTTTTCTTCTTGAAGTGTTAACTTTTTACAGTCTGAATCATACATAGAAATTATTCTTTGTTAATAAATAAATAGAAATTACTTTTTTTCATATTGGCGTGTACCTCAGATATTAGAGGAAGAAAAAAGGTAATATAATTTAAGTTTACCAAATATGGTGTGTATTCAAGTAATACTTGTCCAGCTTATCTAAATTGTACATACTTGAAATAGTATCTAAATTTGATTTTATTATTCTGTTCTCAAACCTGCAATAACAAGATACAGTTTTGCATCTGTAGCTAACTCTTCTGTGCTCATCACTTTGTGTATATTACTTGTTCTGAATAGATTTTACTTTTGGAAATATGGCTTTGTTGAAGTCGTTCTGGTTTTATTATTTACTTACCCGTTTGCCTTTATATTTTAGCTTTGCAGAAACTAAAATGGTGCAGTAGGCTTTCATAAATCTCACAGGCAGAGAATAAAAGCTTCTGATGACTTTTTTCCTCACAGGAAGACATCCTGGGAAGCAGTTCTTAGTGCTCTGGCAGTGAGTGTTGTAAAGAGTTCATGACCTGATTTTCATTTGCAGTCTGTATTGACCAAGGATTAAGCATAAAAATTGTATAGATCATTAAAGCTGTGGTCTTCTCAGATGGAAATGGGTAGAAAGTGTTTTTGTTCTGAGTCTGTCTTGTTGGCTTTTTCTGTTACAAAATTGCGAACCAGATCTTACAATTAAGTTTTACTTTTTGTTTAAGTACATGCCAGTTGTTCTGTTAAAAATAAGAAAAATAGGTTTCACATGGTTTCCTGGGTGCAGTTGCTGTTGCACTCCTTCACGGCCACAGCATGAGTCTCCAGGTCACTGCGCTGGACCAGCAGAAGGACCGCTGCACATGTTTTGCACTCTCCTCTGCTCCCCACTTCCCCTTTCTTAACCCAGAGTCCTTTTGTGGTAATACAGAAAAGAAGATTTAAGTTTCCGTGCTGAGGACCGGCCCCCAAGCACCAGCCCTCCTCCTGTTAGTGTTCAGTTGAACCATCTGCTTTATCATTTCAGAAATAAAGTGCCGTTTTGAGAGAATGAGCATAAGAAGACTAAAATTAAAGTAGTTCCATTTTTAAATTAACTGATTTTAAAATTTGTAATTCAATAAAGTTTTGTTGTTGTTAACTGTGTATCACGTTTGTCATTTATACATTGAATTTTGTTTTACCTTTAAGAATTTCCCAGGGGCTGGGGAGATGGCTCAGTGGAATAAGTGCTTCCCTGGCAAGTGCAAGGGTCTGAGTTCAATCCCTGGTTCCGCCAAAAAAAAAAAAAAAAAAAAAAAGAATTTCCCGTTTTCCTGTATTAAGGTATTTTTAAATTAGTTTTGCTAAAGTGAAGCTTGGTCTTGAAGTATACCTAGCGTGAGTGTGTTTTCCTTTCCTGGCCCTCTGCTGACGAGTGTGGCTCTGAGCTGACAGACCTGGGTGTGCTGGCTCGTGGGTGCTCTTCACATAACATGTGTGTCCTACTGCTGAAAGGCGTTAGCCACTAAAGAGTAACAAAGTGAAGTGTTGTCACAAGGAATATTTTACATAATACTTACTTTCTAAACAAAGTTAACTGTTAAGTGAGCATACCAAAAAATTAAGTTAGACAAGTGTTGTGGCAACAAAGAGCTGGCCAAATAGCTCATCGGATTAAAGCACCTGCAAGCAGGGGCCGGGGTTCAATCCTGGGCCTGCCCTGCTGGCCCCACCTCCGGGGCAGGCCAAGAGGGCAATTGAGACTGAGCTTGGTGGTACACGCCTATAATCCCAGCTCTTAGGAGGCTGTAAACAGACGGATCACTACGAGTCTGATCTAGCAGTGAGACCCTGAATACCCTGTAGACCCTTCAAAAAAGCATTGTGGCAACAATGAATGTCCTGGAAAAGCAGAGAACAGTCTTCGTTTTCTCCTTCACATGGATGCTGGTGAACATTTGGCTGTCAGTATTGCTGAGCCATCGCAGTAGTTCTGAGATATTTCTGTATGCCCCAAGATGTAAATCTATACACCTTACAAGTGGAAAATGTTTAAAGTACAAAGACAACAAAAGAAATAACAGCAGTGCTTTTGAATTCTTGTACTTACTCTGTTCTTAAAGGTCAAAGTATAGTGTGAGGATTTAAATTCATTTTTCAGGGGTTAGGGAGATAGCTCAGTAGAATAAGTACTTGCCTGGCAAGCACAAGGGCCTGAGTTCAATCCCTGGTCTGCCAAAAAAAAAAAAAAAAAATCATTTTTCAAAATAAAGCTGCCATTAAGTGTTGTGATTTGTGGAGTTTTAATCAACAGTTGTTCTCCCCTTTCTATTTAGCAGTAGAAAACTAGCCATTCAGGAGGAATTGAGTGTTCCCCTGGGAAACATGATTGGGATAATCACTGACAGCAGATTACTTGTGAAAATCTCATGTCAAGAAAGCAAGCACATTTGAAATATTACTATACCAGAACAGAGAAAGTTTCTCACAAATTCCTAGAGTGGCTATGGAGGCATTATGTTGAAGAACCTTAAGCAAATGATGAAGTCAGTCAAAAGCAGTGGGGACGCGCATTGGAAAGGTCTCAGGACTGTGGACAGTAGATAACCAACACCTGTGATTTGGTGGGTAAAGTCCTTGTTCACTGCTGTTAGAGTTCGTGTCCAGATCCCCCCCCCAGCCACATGCCACCATAGGTGGTTGGTTCTGTGGTGTGTGATGCTGGCATTGATTCCTGGCCCAGTGCTAGGGATTGTGGGCACTAGAGTTAAGCGTGTGAGTGCTGCCCCCATCCCAGGGCAGGCACCTTGGAAGAAGATACAGAAAGACTTGCTGAGGTTTGCTTGCTTGTTTTTGCTATCTTTTGCCTGCCATGAACTTCTTTCTCTGTCTTGCCCCACCCTGCCGTGGCGCCAGCCACCTATGGAGTGAAACCTCCACAAACTGAGCCAAATAAGCCTTTCCCCCGCTAAGGTTGGCTGTTGGACATTTTGTCTCAGCAGTAGGGAAAGTGACCAAGAGAACTGCTTTATCTTCACCTAAAAGAATGTCTGCCACATGAAGTGGTCTTGGTCATGTTTGTGGTAATTTCTTGGCTGTGGGAATGAGGGTGTAAAGAACATTCCCTGGATTGGAGACCCACAAAGGGGATGGCTAACTGCAGGTTGGTAATATTTTTAGACACCAACGTTGAAGAATTGTAATGAGCTAGAATTTTGGGAGACAATAACTCACTCTAGGTGATTTAATTGGACAAAGTAAAGCAAAAATGATAATTGAAAAACTTTTCATGTGTATGTGTTCTTGTTTGTTCATGTACAGGATGGGAATAAAGGTGCAGGTAACTGCCTCCAGCGAGTCACCTCGTGGTTCCTCTCCATGGGTGCCCTCTCACGGCAGCTGATTCTTTTTCTTAACAGCCACGACTGCAAAGGTAGAAACATTTCCTGTGTGATCATACATGCCATGTAGCCTGGTTCAGTTAGCCCACATTCCTATAAATGGGTGACAGAACTGCTCTGAAATAAAAAGATTTTGTAATAATGCCAGTCTACTTGGTAACACAAAAAGCAACACCGCAGCAGCACTGAAATCAGAATTCTGGCTAGTTTATTTCATCTTCTTGCCCTGCCAGTCCTGTCGTTATGGCAGGATGTCCTTTTCTGTATGTAGACCATATTCTCATCCTTTGGCGTGTCTGCACATTTGTGCTTTCTCATTTCTTGCCTGTTGTGTTAATGGTACTGTCTGTGGAGTTCCTGTTTATATTCAGGATCATGACTTCAGTTCTTGGGGAGAAACCCCAGCAGTAGGATTACTGCCTGCGCCCTGCCCCACGCAGTGTGACCCCTGCTAAGGTGACTGCGATGGCTGAAGCTCAGTGCCCACCACACCGGCTCAGGTAACTGACTGGTGGCCGCAGGCTGGCACTGTGAGGTTCTGTGCTTCAGCCTGGCCCTGCTTGCAGTACATGAATTTACAGAGAAGCATGAGTAAGAACAGCAGAAAGTGATACTGGAACAGTGCAGTTTTGCATAGGAAGCTTCGGGAGAGGCTTACTGTAGCCTGCCTGAAGTTGAGACAAACTTGAAAAGGCAGGAAGGAAAGTGGTAAAGCTGCCAGTGAACTCTTGTGTATCAGAAGTAATTGAAAGTAGTGAAGCACTTGTGGAAAATCCAGGACTTTCAGTATATTTTGTAATAAAGACGGTGGGCATAATGTTGACAGTGAGTAACCCTTCAGAGCTAGGTGAGCTTGGCGTGAGGGAGCACATTGTCTCATTCCTTTCATCAGAGCTTCGGCCTGGTAGATAGCCATGTAAGTGCCTGCAAGTGCAAGGTTCTGAGTTGGAGCCCTGGTACAGGAAAAAAATAAAACAACCCTGTAGTTTTCAGTGTGCCTTGCACCTTATTGTTTATTCCTAAGAATCTTTTATGCTACTGAACATCAGTTGCTTTCTTATTTTTCAATTAAACCGGTGTTAATGTATAGAAGTTCTATGTGTTGAACTTGTATCTTGCAACTTTATTGAATTTCGGTTTCTTTTTTTTTTTTTTCTTTTTTTTGCAGAACTGGGGATTGAACTCAGGCCTTGTGCTTGCCAGGCAAGCGCTTATTCTACTGAACTATCTCCCTGGCCCCTAGATTCCTTTATTCTAACAGGTTATGTTTGTTGAGACTAGGATTTTCTGCTTAAAAGATCTCACTTGCAAATGTAATTTGGATGCCTTTAATTTCCTTCTCTTGCAGTATTCTGGCTGTAATTTCCAGGTGCTGAGTAGGGTAGAAATAGCTCCTGTGCTGAGGCAGGAGCAGGCACTCTCTCTGTATCCAGCCTTAAAGGAAAAAGGTTTAATTGTTGATATGATGTTCACTGTGGGCTCTTCACAATAATAACCTTTATTACTTAGAGGTAATTTATTTTTGATTTGCTGAGAGTTTCTGTTGTGAAATTATGTTGAATTTCGTTAAGTGCTCTTTTTTTTTTTTTTTACATCTGCTGAGGTGATTTTTGTGTGTATCACAGATTTATTTTCTATTGTTGAAACATCATGCATCCATCTCAGAGGTAAATTTCACTTGATGATGTGGCTCATTTATGTGCTGTTGAGTTCAAATAGCATTTTTAAAAATATAAAACAATTTTATTGAGCTAGATTTACATACCACACAGTTTACAAAGTTAAATGTAAGATTCAATAGATTTTAGCATGTTAACAAAATCGTACAGCTATAACCACAATTAAACTTTGGTCATTTTTGTTATCACAAATCAAAGCATTCTACCTGCTAGCTATCATCTCATAATACTAGCTTGCTAGTGCTGATGTTTTGTACATCTACCTTCACTGGGATATTGACCTACAGTTTTGTTACATGTTTTCTGACTTACCAGTAATTCTATGTTCAATAAATTAAGTTTGAAAATGCTCTTCAGTTATTTGGAAAAGTTTGGGAGAAGGGGCCGGGGAGATGGCTCAGTGGAATAAGTGCTTCCCTGGCAAGCACAAGGGCCTGAGTTCAATCCCCGGTTCAAAAAAAAAAAAAAAAAAAAGTTTGGGAGAGTGGCCTTGGTGGTTCTTTTTTTTGTTTGTTTTCCGTTGGTGGAACCAGGGACTGAACTCAGATCCTTGTGTTTGCCAGTCAAGCGCTTATCCTACTGAGCCATCTCCCCGGCCTCTGGTGGTTCTTTAAATGTCTGGTAAAACTACATTAGGTGGCACACACCTGTAGTATCAGCACTTGAGAGGCTGAGGCAGAGGACAAAGTGAGCTATGTGTTGAGCTTAGGGCCCGCCTGGAATACATAGCAAGACTTGATCTCAAAAAAAAAAAAAAAACAAGTAAGTAGTAAATGTTTAGCAGAATTCACTAGTGAAGCCATCTACACTTGAGGTTTTCTTTCTTGGGAGACTTTATTACTGATTGTCTCCTTGATACTGTTCTGACCAGTAATCAAAGTCTGATTTTTTTTTTATGATTCTATCTTGGCATATTGTGTTTCTAGGAATTTCTCACTTTCTCCTATGTTACGGAGCTTGTTGTATATACTTGTTCGTCACATTCTTATAAACATTTCTATAGTGTCTCATTTCTGATCATGTTTGCGTATTCTCATTGAAAGTCTGCCAATTTTATCTTAAATTGGCAGATTTATTGGCTTTT